CCCCCCCCCCCCCCCCCTCTAAGGCGTGGGCACAACGACTAAACCGACTAACATGGTTAACAATATGAAATAGCCTTAAACTAGCCATAGTTTAAGAGTCTGGTTATTAAAATGTGGATTTGGCCTTAGGCTAAGAATAGTTTAAGAGCGTTGTTAAGATCTGGCCTTAGACTAAAAATAGCTAAGAGCGTTTGTTATTATTAGCCTTAGACTAAGAATAGCTAAGAGCATTGTTATTATTGGCCTTAGATTAAGAATAGTTTAAGAGTACTGTTCGAATAATGAATATTGAATATTTGAATTGATTAACATGTATTGATATGAACTAAACATTCTCAAAATCATGAATGATGAATATTTGAATTGAACATTATTTGCATGATATCAAATGATTTGATTATGAATTGAGATTCAATTTATATGGATGTTTGACGCATTAGATATCCTTACTCAGCTTCAATTCTGAGCGTGTAGTATATTTTATTTGCTACACGTAGGCAAATAGAAAAAATGATGTGGCGTGATCCTGGAGATAGCAGAGGCCGGTGAGATAGTCGGGATGGATGTGATGATTTTGAATTAAAGGACATAAATAAATTATGTTTTGTGATGTGATGATTTGTTAAGCTTCCGCAACATTGAAAACTCCGTACTGTTTCTGTTATGAAAAATATTATTATGATAAATAAAAGTGTTTGAAATGTTCTAAATTTTTACGATTTACAAGCTAATACTTTAGTCCGAAAGAGGCTGCAGACCTGGATGGATTGGGGTGTTACACATAACTTTTTATACATAGTCCCAAACTTGACAAACAATATATCGTTGTTCATATATACATACATGAAACCTATCCAATAACAGAAAATGGAATATATAATATTGTCTCTACGACATACTTGTTTTTTGTTTCTTTTATTTTATTATCTTTTCGTTCTTGAGGCGGTGAAGTCATTGAGATTCGTAACTCAGATTTGCGCGCGAAATGTGCTGTTGAACTCGTCTCATCAAGACCTTCAATTTGAGTATAAATCTAACTATAAAAGACTATCTTTGAAAATTACTTATTTTTAGCACAGACGTTTCTATTTTCTTATTTTAATATATATCAAAATGAGAATTATAATTTATTAGAAATTCATTATTAAGTTTCAGAGTGTATTTTAAGGCCGGGTGTTACAATGAACTTCATCAACCTAGATAACCCACGAACAACACCAAGAACCCAAAGCAAAACAAAAAGAGAACAAGCACAAATGTCCAAGATTAAATGACACGTAGGCAGTACATTACTTTACTTACACACATAAGAATAGAAAGAATCAATCAAAAGTCAAGTTGGTTCATTTTCTTAACCACGATATGGAGGGTTGTCAACTCTCCATACGCCCTAGAGTCATGCAATTCAAAGGCCCATTTTGAAATATACATTTGAGTCTCAACTCTCTATTCAAGCATGAAAACATACTTCCACTATAGAAAACGTTTATAAAAGAGAGAATATATTATGCATTCAACTCTCATACATAATCTATTCACAAATTTGCCAATAAATTATGTATTTTAAAGAAAATTTAACTCCTAATGATGAGAATATTCCACAAATTTCCATGAACTTCTCAAACTAATGACGTTTTTCTATTTACATAGGGGAGCACAACATATTTTCAATAAATCAAGAATTGTTTATTGCACTCAAAGAATCTAAATTTTAATGAAAATAATAAACAAAAAATAACATAAACAATCACAATAACGAATTTTAAGGAAAATGTCCAAGATATGGGGCTAAGAAGCCCATAAACCTTTAAAATAACAAGCAGAAAGCACAACAAAGAATCACGTATAAATTTGAAATTCATTTAACTATAATATAGAGCTAAAATAGCTTCAACAAAAACTGAATTCTACATACCAACTCACTTATGAAATTGAATTAACAATTCAACCAATTCAACAACTTAGACAAAATTGAAGAAAACTAGCAATAATCAGTTCTCATTCATAAGGGATTTATTATAAATATTCAAAGAAAAGCAAACACCCAAGAAAATGAACACCAACCATTATTTTTTTGGAATTTTCAATTTTTAAAACATGAACAAGCATACAAAAAAGAAATATTTAATAAAAAACAACACTTTTACAATGTAATAAACAAGAAAATTGAAATATTAAAGGAATGATTTCTGGATTTAATCCGGAAGCCATTTTACTTGGGTACCTAAAGTAGAAGAAGAAGCTAAAAATGAAGCCTTGAAGCTACTAGTTCACCCCCCCTCTCTGGCATTGCGTTCAGTTTTTCAATTTATAGTAGGAAGAACTTTTTTTTGGTTCGCAATTCAAGTGAGGGAGCCATTGTTGCTGAATGAAATTAAATATGAAATTACTACTCCTCACAAAATATTGAATAAAATTAAATAATTCAACGCTGATTTCTTGATCTTTGGTTTCAATTTCTGCGTCTTGGGCTGGTTCGCACTGCTATTTCGATTTCAATATTCGAGCGTTGGGCCGCTGTAGTAGACCATAACTTCTTCTCATGGGCTGGTCTTTTTTGATTTGTTGATGATGGGTTTATATGCTCTCGCCAAAACTTAATGTTTTTTTCTAAGCTTGTATTCCGTTCTTGCCTTCCGCTACACTTTTGCTCCAAAAAATAGATATGTGATAATTCAGGTTAGGGAAAATATGATAAAGAAAATATAAATTGTAAAAAGTGATTAAAAACACTATTTTAAAATATAAAATAAAAGAAATGTAAAAGTAATAATTAAAATAGAACTAAACTAAAAAAAGAATTAAAATCTAAAAATACTAAAAATGCAAAAAATGAATAAAAAGTACTTACCCAAAACTGATTTAACAAGTACTCCAACACTTAAAACTTGAACATCCTCATTCAAAGGCCAAAAACAACATATCATTTCCTTTTATCATCATTAAGAAGAACAAAATGCGCTCTATATCCCAAAACTTAAGACTTGATGCCCATTCATAATTAAGATTTTGAGAAAAAAGATGAGTTATGAATCCTACAAGGTATGAATTCTAAATTGTTGATTTTTTCGGGCTCTAACAAATGCTCTAAAAGCTGCTATAAAAAAGTTTATTTTCTAGTGGAATCCTAAGTTTTAGAATGGCTCAATACAATACTACAAAAAGAGGCAGATTGACTGCCTCAATTGCATCGCTTATTGAAACAACCGATGCAAAAGGTCTAAAGCATCGGTTGTTTTAAAGAACTCATGCCTTAGATTTATTTTCAATAAAAAATAAAACCAGGCATTAGCATCGATTATGTGGAATAACTGATGCAATTGATCAATAGCATCAGTTGTTCCAAACAACCGATGCTAATAACTAGGGGTGAGCAAATACCGAACCAATACTGAAATTTCTCAAAAAAATCGAGAATACCGAACCGAAAAATACCGAACCGAAAAAGTACCGAGAAGGAACCGAACCGAATGGTCAGTACAGTATTTGGGAACGGTACGAGGTGACGTCCCATACCGAAAATCCCAAACCGAACTTATATACTAAAATATTATAAAAAATAATACCCCGGAGTAATATTTTTATATTTCTTCACTAAATAATAAATTAAAAAAAAATTGGTTCAAGTTCTATTATGTGTAAATTATTACTTTTGTTTGAGTTTTAGTTTTTGTGTATGAACATAAAAATATTCACAAAGATTCAAAATACTCCTTTGTAGTCATTCATTTTTTTAGTTTGTGAAATATATACTAAGTTTTGATACTCATCTCTTGCATTTAAATATTCATTTTTTTAATTTTTCATGGTTTTTTATTTAAATTCACTTTTAATTTTCAAAAATAAACGGGCGTTGTTAAATTTTAAGGTGTAAGGTAGGTATGTATATTCATCCCGATTTGTACCGAAACCGATACCGAACCATCCCGAACCATACCGAACCAATATTTTGGGATCGGGATTGGTACGGAGTAAAATTCCATACCGAACCGAAATATTTGGTACGATATCGGTACGAGCTAAATATCATACCATACCGTACCATGCTCACCCCTACTAATAACCATTTTTATTTTTCAATTTTTCTGTATAAAAAAATAAAAACATCTTTTCTAATGTATAACCGATGCTAAAAGTTTATGCATCTCTTCAATTTATCACCGATGCTATCATTTTCGTTTTTATTTACTACTAATAACCATTCGCTTCATCTTTCTTAGCCAGCTGGTTTCAGTCGCCCAAAGTTGTCTCCGTTGCCGTCTCCATAGCCAACGCCGTCGCCGTCGCTCTCCACTCGTGCGGGAGCAATTTTCGAGGTCAATTTCGTTCTCTCTTTCGCTCTCGTATATCACTCACTTCAGATATTGTGAGCTTACTGTAAATGATTCACATTGAGATACTTGGATGCCTCATTACTTTATGATCTGAATCTTCCGATGGAGATATGGGCATGAATCGAGCTGAATCTCAGATTGAAATCCCATACAGTCACTATTCATCCTCATACTTTGCAGGTCTAATTTCATATGTTTCCCGTTCAAATTTAAAGCCAATTTTGAGGTATTTTGAGTGATTTGCTTAGCCTAATCACATTCTAAAGTTTTTTGATCTTTCCAAACAAAGAATTGTGATTTTTGGCCAATTTGGGAATTAGAGCACTGTTCACAGTGCAAGAGGTCCAATGCAGATTAGTTTTTAACTCCTCTATCTAGTGTTCCTTTTGGGTGATTCCCACGACTGATTCACAATACTTTGCTCACTTTTATAGTATTTTTACTGGAATTTATTACTACTATACCTTGTTGTTGCTTGCTGTGTGTTGTTCTTGTCTTTGAACTACTGTGTTTTGCTTTGGGTCCGGTACATTTAAACTGTGATTTTAAAGAGGAAGTTATAACTAAAATTTCTTTTTTATATGGAGTAATAGTTTTGATTAGGATTGAAGTGAGGTTTGAAGAATACTTTAATTTGTATAAATTATGTCTATGTTGCAGGTTTGAAGAATATGGGAATGGTGCAAATTACTCCACTAAATAACTAGTACACGGGTAAAGGTCCTCCCATTGAACAGACGTTGCCATGTAGTCTTGAAGATCTCTACAAGGGTACCACTGAGAAAATGAACATTTCTAAAGAAATTTTCAATGTTAGTGGGTAAGTTGTATTCATTTTACTCCCTGTGTTCATAATCTCCTTAGAGTTTTATTTTATGTTCTCTTTTTAGTGTCTTGTTAGAGTTTGTAGATCAATTTTTTTTTGTGATGTGTTATTTGAGGTTGGTGTGGGTGCAATCTCAAAGAAACACCCAATTTTCATGGGTTTAACAAAATAAGCTGTGTTTTTGGATTTCATTTTTGTTTCTAATTTTCTATTACTTCACTTTATATTATTTCACCTTGTGTTAGTTGAGGAGGTACTTTCAAGAGAGAAGCTGACTGTTTTGCAGATATGGGAGCGTGTGCTGAGTGCCAACAGAATTGTGCATTTCTTCATTGTCAACACTACCCGGGTCCAGCGGTCACATATTTCTTCAAAATCATGATCTCCGATGAGTTCATGCACACTCTGGTATCTCAACACTCAACTTCTTCTATTTATACTCTGTGTTGTAAACTTGTAATAAAAAAAATCATGTTGTAGTGTTGTTCTTTGCCTCTTTTTGCTTTGTGCTTTGTCTACTTTATTTGTCTTTTGTAATCTTATATTATCTATGTTGCTTGAGCCGGGAGTTTCTTGGAAACAACCTCTCTACTCTCGAGTAGGGGCAAAGCCTCTCTCCTTTCCATACAAAAAGTACACAATAACAACCCAATTGGATCCCGCGAGAGTAGAGAGGTTGTTTCCATGAGAGTCCTGGCCGACCTTGCCCCTACCCAAAAGTAGAGAGGTTGGGTTGGGGAAGGAATTGAGAGAATAAAATTGATGGCTTAAATATCACCCATTCCATGTTCCTCGAGTCCAAAATACCCAACCAAACAAGGGTTCACTAAAGCTACCACTTGATATCTTTTGCAGTATCTGCCTCCTCAATTTGCTAAAGCCACATCCCATTTGGCTGATCAAGAAATCTACCTTGAGGACTCTGTAGGGATCAAATCAAAAGGTAAGGTTTCAAAGTGGGAGAATACACTGGCTATTCAACAGGAATGGCACCAATTCTCATTGAGCCATAACATTGAAGGCTCTTCTTGCACCAAGAAAAGATTATCAAACAAATAGGTATTCTTCATCTTATGATCTGGAAGCCATGTAGCTATTGATATAGCTTCTTTAAATTGAACATGAGGAAAATGTTTGTGTGTGTTTTTGGTGTAACTTTCAGATTGATCACGGGAGTCTTGTAATTTGCTGATGGAACTCATTTGACCATTGATGAGACACAACTTCAAGGTGGAAACCTTAACTCAACGGGGGTTGAGAATACCGAGATACTTGCTCGATATGCAAAAGGTTCACATGATGATTTTTTTGTCTTACTTTTTTTGTTGTATTTCTTACTAGATTCTGCATCACCGTTTATTAAGGGTCTTCATGAATAGGGAAAATGAAAGGAAAAGAAAGTTTATGTTAGAATTGAAGGAGATTGAATTTGAGATACATTTAAGAAAACAGTTGTTCAAATTCACTAATCTATTTTTGTGCACTTCTTTTTTTCCCCGGTGTTTTTTGGGATTTAAACATACCCTTTAAATGATTCATTCTGTTTACCCTTTCTCTTTGTCACTCTAAAGCTCTGATATCACTTTTTTAAGAAAATAGAAAAAATAGGACTTTGGTATCGGTTGTTTCGTAATAACCGATGCAAAATCTTTTTTTAATAAAAAAATAGGGTTTTGGCATCAGTTGTTTTGAAACAACCAATGCTAAAGCCTTTTTATAAAAGAATAGGGCTTTGGCATCGGTTGTTTCCAAACAACCGATGTTAAAGCCTTTTTTAAAAAAAGAATAGGGCTTTGGTACCGGTTGTTTCGAAACAACCAATGCCAAAGCTTTTTTTTTAAAAAAAAAGAATAAGGCTTTGGCATCGGTTGTTTCGAAACAACCAATGCTAAAGCCTTTTTTTAAAAACAAATAGGGCTTTGGCAACGGTTGTTTTGAAACAACCGATGCTAAAGCCTTTTTTAAAAAAAATATAGGGCTTTGGCATCGGTTGTTTCAAAACAATTGATGCTAAAGCCCTTTCCATTGGGTGTGCCAACGAGGACCTTTTGCATCGGTTTTTTTTACAACCGATGCAATTACCCTAGAGCAATTGCATCGCTTGCATTTGCATCGGTACAAAACCGATGCAAAAGGTCCAAAACAACCGGTGCTAATGCCTATTTTTGTAGTAGTGATAGTAGATGTAGCAAGGTTTGTCAAAAGGTCCAAAACAACCGGTGCTACACAATTTATAAAAATAAAAGGATCTTAAAACGGGTTTGTTCTTCAGATTTTAATCAATTACACAAGTTTGATTAGGTAGCATCTAGATAGTATGTGAATGGTCAGTGGTAAAAAACAAAATTCTAAAGAATTTCTAGAAGGATTTCAAAAAGTTTAAGGTTACTTTTAACAAGAAAAAGGACCGTAAGAATCAAAGTGGGTGTATATAAGAAGCACTTGTAATCTTTCATACTAAAGTGCAATGATGACTGTCGAACAAGGTTAATGGAAACCTAAGCAACGTCGAGTCCCAAAGCGGAGACAAATTCAACAATATTGACCGAGAGAAATTTGAAAAGAAAGAAAGATCACAAACCCTAGGCATGGGGGAATCCTCTCCAAAAGTGAGAGAAAGGAGATCCACAAAGGATGATGATTGAACACGCTGAGGCTTGGAAGAGGTTTCTAAGGTGAGGAATATCCAACTTCCAACAATTTTCCCAAGGCTTAAAAGGTTATGAAATGTGAAGTAGAGAGGTCTTTTGTTGAGGTTAGGTGCAGGGATGATTGGTTGGAGGGAACCAAGTCATAACACTCTAACATTTCTATCAAGTAGTCCAAGAAGGGTGATGGAGGAAGATGGCTCATGTTGGAGTTAGGCACATCTCAGCATGGAAGTGTGATGGGAAAGTTTAGGGAATGTACATGAGGAACTCTTCTTTATTTTAAGGGGAATATATATATATATATATATATATATATATATATACACACACACACACACACACACACACATATTTATCCCGGTAGTGATCACCAAAATCGGTGTGGTAGCGCCGGGGAACGCATACCTAGTTTATTGAGAAAGAAAAAGTGATACCGTTACAACACGTTCGGGGAGGACTAGACCAGTGCCCCAAAAGTAAAAGATTAACAAGAGGATAGAAACAAAACAATTAAACGACAAAACAAAGAGGCGCCGCCCCGTAGCACAATCGATTTCTAATCCCAACTCATCTGCAAATCATGTCTCCTCCAAGAGCGAAGGATTGCAATCCCCCCTCACTGAGCTCGGTCTGTTTGATCATCCAGCCCTTTCTTCGAAACTTCCAGCACCACAGATTAACGGTAAGTTTGATGTTGTTGCATATACCCCTATAGTTCACATTTTCCCCTCCAAATGTAATAGAAGCATATTCTTTCCAAATTGACCACGCAATAATACATGGAGATACTAGCCTCAGATTTCCCACATAAGAATTATTTGATGATCTTAAATTCCACTCTAGTATGTGCTGTCTTAGTCCTATACCCTGGTTCAGTTTAGGACCCTCACACATATTTTCCAATTCTGCCCAAATAGTCTGTATCTTGGTACATTGCAAAAGACAATGGTCCATAGTGGCTTTTTCTTGCATACAGAATGGGCATTGAGATGGGAAACATGTCTTCAATCTGTTCATGTTCTTAGGGAAAGGGAGGATATTTTTTTTAACTTTCCATAGGAACATCTGAATTTTTGGGAGTTGTAGTTTGTCCCAAAGGAAAGAGTCACTCAATGACATATTGGTATGAATCCTACAGTGTTCATAGGCCTGTTTGATAGATATAGGAACTGCCTCCATTTCTTCTTCATCTTCCCCTTGATCTGGAGTGATGTCCCCCAAGAATTCCTCTGCCTTTGAGTTAATTCTGCAGATTCTTTTTCGAATAGGAGAGTCTGTGAGCTTTTCCTCATAGCAAATTGTACTGTACTTTTGTCTCATGAACTGAGCCCACTTGTTGTTATGGTATCTGAAATTCCACCACATCTTGATAGAATAGGCATCCTGAATGTCTCTTATGTCTCTAACTCCTAGTCCACCCTCTTTTTTTGGCTTGCATATATCTTCCTACTTAGTCCAATGATATTTGTTGTTACCACTAGAATTGCCCCAAAAAAAGTTTGCCATCATGGAATGTAACTTGTTAATAACAGACTGGGGTAGTGTGTGCACAGCAATAAGGTGCAGAGGGATGGATGACAGTACATGCTTGATGAGGATTAGTCTACCACTTTTGTTCAGAGTCTTGCTATACCAGCTATCAATGTACTTAGTAAAGTGATCTATAAGCTCACCACAATCTGTTTTCCTTAGCTTCCCCTTGCAGATTGGTGCCCCTAGATATTTGAAAGGGATTTTGTCATGTTTCATTCCCAATATTCCTTCTATTTTGATAATGGCTGCCCTGCTGAGTTTGTTTCCACTGTAGAACTTATTCTTCCCATAGTTAATCTGTTGTCCAGAGGCCCCCATGTAGATATTGAGAATATGTTTCAGTTTATAGATATTTCTACATTCTCCATTGCAGAATATGATGATGTCATCTGCAAAAGCAAGATGACTTATCATCATGTCTCTGCCAGTGTTGTAGTTGGTGATGTAGGAAGAGTGCATTGAGAAATTGAGAGCTCTAGAAAGTCCTTCTCCAGCAATGATAAAGAGGAGCGGAGATAGGGGGTCACCCTGTTTAACTCCTCTTTTCATCTGGAAGAATCCCCTGGGGCTGCCATTAATCATAATGGAAAGAAAAGTGGATTTTAAGGTTAGCCATAAGCAGATTCTGAGCTTGACTTGTGAATCCCAGTTCTCTTAGTACCTCTTGTACCTCTTGTAGATACTGCCACTCCAACTTATCAAAGGCTTTAGCCATGTCCATCTTAACAATGATGTTACCTCCTCTGACCTTGGAGTCAATTTTGTGAACCATTTCCTCAACCAAAAGAATTTGTTCCTCTACCCCCATGCCCTTTTGGAAACTAGTTTGCTCAGCAGAAATAATTTTAGGGAGAATAGCTTGAATCCTATCAACAAGAATCCTTGTATTAATTTTGCTCATGAAGGTGGACAAGGAAATTGGCCTGTAGTCTCCAAAGACTCTAGGTTTTTCATTTTTGGGAATAAGTGTTATAAAGGTGCTTCCATATGCCTTGGGTATAGGGACACCAGTGAAAAATTCCTGTGTGGCACTAATAACATCTGTTTTAATAATATTCCAGTAGGTTCTGAAGAAGGTGCCATTGAAGCCATCTGGCCCTGGAGCACTTCCAGGATCAAGAGACCAGACTGCAGCTTTAATTTCCTCCTTAAAGGGTAATTTACAAATTCTCTCATTGTCCTCAGCTGTAATTACTTCCTCCAGGTAATCCATCATAGGGTCTACTTGAATGGATTGGGTGTTACTGAAAACATTTGTGAAGTGATCAATAGCTCTCGTGCTAATGTTCTCCATATCTCTGTGCTCTTTACCTGCCTGATCATAAATGAATCTTATTTTAGCTTTAGCCCTTCTGCCTTTAACAAAAGCATGATAGAACTTAGAGTTGCAGTCTCCCTCTGAAATCCATTTGAGATTTGCCTTTTGTTTCCAGAATAGTAGTTCAATATTAGTAGCTTGAATGAGATGAGCCCTGGCTTTGTTATCTGCCTCTCTGTTATTAGGATTAGGATCCTGCTCATATGCCTCCTGGGCTGAAATAGCTTGTTCTTCTGCCTCCTTAAGATTGGAAAAGATGTTACCAAAAGTGCTTTTGTTCCAAACTGTAAGAACACCCTTAAGGCCCCTTAGTTTTGAGCTGAGACCTGCCATACCTCCATAGGGGTGAGTGCTTTCCAATATTCATTGACCACCTTAAGAAAGGAGGGGTGAAGAGCCCAGGAATCAATGAATCTAAAAGGTTTTGGGCCCCCAAGTTCTTCTTTAAAGCAAGTGAGAAGTACAGGCTTATGGTCAGAAGTTGACTTGCTTAGGTGTTTAACACAAATATCATCAAAGTATTGCAAAATTGTTTCATTAACTAATGCTCTGTCCAACCTTCTGAACACCATGCCATTCCTTCTACCTCCTGACCAGGTAAAGATAGATCCTTGTGTGTGAGGGTGGTTTAGATTACATGATGCAATGCAGTCCTTGAACTCCTTCATGTCAGTTTGATTAGGCATAGTCTTACCTTTGTGTTCACTCCATTCAGCAATGATATTGAATTCCCCTCCAACAACCCATTTGTTGTTGGTTTGGAGGGTTTGCAAACTGTGCCAAAGACCCCTTCTTTCCTTACAACTGTGTTTACCATAAACATAAACAGTAGTGATTCTTACTTGATCTTTAGTGTCTGCCTCCAAAAAATCACAGTTGACCAGCTGTTCATCCTCATTGTTATTTTGGAGCAGGAGAGTATCCTCATTCGAGAAAATCCAAATTTTGTTGTTGCTAGAAGCTAATCCATTAGTGACCCAATTGTAGTTTATATAAACCTATTTTGTCAGCAGCAACAATAGGTTCTATAATAGCCAAGAAGTCCATATTATAGTTCCTTTTGTATATTTTGATCCTTTTAAGAGAGGATCTAACTCCACAGACATTCCAAAAAAGCACAATCATTAAAGACATAAATATTGAAAGTCTTTATGGCCTTTATTGCTTCTAGTTATCATAGTGGTTAGTTGACCCTTCTTCTTTCCACTCTGTTTTTTGGGGACAGAAATGTGTGTGCTTGTTGGGGTAGGAGATGAAAATGGCTTAGGAGATAAATCTGATATGTCAATGACCTCCTTACTTTGATCTCCATCAGAGTGATATCCAAAGTTTCTAGTTTCCACCTCCTCTTCCTCCTGAGAATGATGAATTTCATGAAGTAGCATTGCCAGGCCCTTATCAGGTGTGTGGATTATTTTGATGGCATTGTCTGGACTTTAGGGCATATTCCTTAGCTTCTTCGAGTGTAGGAAAGTGATTGAGATCATTGGGGTATAAGGGGTCCTCCACTAGCTGTGAGATTGGTGAATGATCTGAAGATAAGACCTGTACATGTGGGCTAGCTTCTTCACTGGGCAGTAGGTCCAATAGATTGAAATTATTAGCCCCAGGATTTTCACTAGCTTTTAGTTTCCAAGCAAACTTTTTGGGCCCCGCCTGTGATTTTCTAGCATTTTGCTTGTGGTCTGTACTCCTTGTCTTCTTTCTTTTGACCTCCTCCCACTCAGACTCTTTCACATTTGTGATGCCCTCTTTCCCCTTGCCGGAGGGAAATTTTCTGGTGGGTGATGGGCCTTTGCCAGAGCAATAGCTTCCTATCTTGTGTCCCAATTTTTTACATTGAGAACAAAATGAAGGCATAGATTCATAACTACATTTGATAACTAGATTCTGCCCTCCCAATCTAATATGGATTTTAGTTGGGGGAGGCAAAGACATGTCCAGTTCAATACAAACCCTGGCTCCCTCCCTTCTATCTCTATTAATAGTGTAATCATCAACTCTAACAGGTTTTCCAATCAAGGAAGCAATGGTGAACAGAGCTTGGAAATCAATGAGATGAAGAGGAAGCTTGTCAAAAGAAACCCATACTAGATAGAAGGGGCTGTCTTCATTACTTTTGTAGTCACGAGTCCATTTGAATACGTAGAAGGATGAATTGTATACGTACCATTTTTGTTTAAGAATGAAACGAAGGTAGTCTTCTTCCTCTCTGAAAGTAAAGAGAACATCTCTCTTGCTAATTCTCCTGATTCTGAACCAATGGAAGCCCAGATTTGTAAGCAGATTCTTGAGGTGTGATCTTCTGTAAATCTTCCAACTGCTGAATAATGCAGTTTGCTTTCCAGTAAATCTTCTTCTTCAGCGCTGAAACTAACTGAGGGCATATTGCTATAGTAGCCCTCAACCTTGCCAACTGGATTAAGATTTGTTTGTTGGAAGAGTGCTCGAAATGACTTGATGAAATTTATTTTTGTGGCTTTAGTGGGTAAAGATGGTTCTAAGTTTGTGCTATCAATGTTAGCTGCCTGAGATTTTTCCGTCCAAGACGCCGGAATTCTCTCCCTTCTCTCTAGAACCATTTTTTCCATCATATATATATATATATATATATATATATATATATATATATATATATATATATATATTAAATACCCCAAAGCTTACTTTATACAGAATGTACATCTTCAACTTGTGCACTCTTCGTTTACTATGTACACATTATCATTTTTAAAGTAAAAAAAATCTATTTGTGACAATGATCTTTTCAAGTCCTGACAACGACACTAGGTAAAACCTTGTGATTTATTTTGAATTACTTATAAGTGCATGAACCATAACAAGGAAAATACAAGTTGAGGTCAATCCCACTAAGACTTGATATATATATATATATAGGGGCCGGTTCCTGTGAGAAAGGACTTTGGTGAAAGAAATGAGAATAAATGAGAGTCCTTGGATTTGCTCCATCATGTGGCCTAGATTAAATCTCATGGGATTCGGATTCTGCTGCATCATTAGGAAACTAATTATTAGGGTCCATTAAAATAGGGAGGAAACATCCAAGGAGGACATTTTGGGTAAGTTGTTGCACCATAAAAAAACGGGATATGCAGCCTAATTATGCGCCACCCATTTTTTTCGCTCTTACCAAGTCGGAACTGCGGAGACCTTCTTAAACTACTCTGCTTCTTTAACTATTCAGCAATCCGATCAATTTCAAAGTATAGTGTAGAGAGACGATGTGGACTACCGAGAAATCACCGCCGACTAAAGCAAGAAACGAGCCCGAGGAAACCGTGAAGAGAGAATGATGATGCAACAACGAGGAGGATCAAAGCAGACTATTAGAACGACGGTGGAGAAGGATTCCAGAAGAGAGAATGATGATGCATCGACGAGGAATCATGTGCAAGATATGATGCACGTGACAAAAAATAGGGGTATGAATGGCTATTTTAAGATGTTTATTGGTGAACCTATAAGATTGTCAGATTGTGCACTTGTACATGGTCTGATTCAACTTTGGGTCGGTGTGGTAGAATTCGGGTTCATAGTGAATCGATAGTTATGCAGTATGTGTTTGTGAAAATGCATCAATTGTATTCGTAAACTTAAATTACATATATTATGAAACATGTGAGACTGTAAAATTAATTAAAAGAGGGATTTAATCTTCTGTCGTGAGTTGCAATCCATGATGTTTAATATGCGTAATATTTATATAGCATTTTTTAGTTAATTGGATGCATAAAATTTAATGTTTTCTTGCATTTTTAAGTCCTAACCCGTGTTGCTTGATGAAATGTTGTGCATTTTGTATTTGGGGAAATGTTCCCAGTTTGTCTAAGTGTGTGTGAGGGTTGGACAGAAAAGTGCTTTGTTGGATGTCGTCTAATTCATGTTTGGGTGGTTTGGGTAGTATTTTGGGTTCAATATGAAGTGTTAGTTATGAAATATGTGGATGTTAAAGTGCATCAATGAAATGATTCTGTTGCTTTAATTAAATAATTACATCGAGGAGGGGTGCGTTGTTGAGCAGCTTATGGAGGAGATTAGAGGTTCAATTTCAAGTGTAACTTTGCATTCTTGAATGATCTGGACACATCGTAGACTGTATAAAAATATTACCATGATGTGAACTGAATTGGAAATTTCCATTTAGAAATACTCCATAAAAAAGCTATACATCATGTATGTTTTGATTTGCATTCATCTACATCCCCAATTTAAATACAAGTGTGGAAAGATAGACTTGAATTGATTTTTTTTAAAAGTAAAAGTGTAATATGCATCTTGTTTGTCAGGTTTGCATTCATTGCTTTTGGTAGGTATGTCAAGTAAACATGGCTCAATACAGATTGACATTGAAGGACAAGACTCTGATGCTGGTGCTAAAACATTAAAAAAGGCATGAGGGTAGAGAAGGTCAAAGTGCAAATCATGAGACAAAGAATGTGACTAATGAGGATGAAACAGTGGGTGAAATGCAGAGTTAATAATTAACTTGAAGAATTGGAGCAGAGTCTAACTGATGGTGATGATGTATGTAGAGTGCTCAGATGTATAAGACGAGATAGAGAATGTAGAAGATAAATACGAGTCCTTTAGTGGTGATTGTCCTA